TCTAGCTGGCTTGTTTATCAAGGGAAATAAACCTACACTATACAGTGAATCTGCCAAATCCTTAGTTATCCGTCCAGCCTCATGTTCTAAATTAATATTAAAGTCCCCACATAGAACTAATGTTTTGTATTTAATGTGATCAACCAATTCAATCATTATTTCATTAAATGTCCCAATACATGATTCTGGTGCTCTATAAACACATCTAAGTATTTTTGGCAGCTTCATTGCTGATTTCTACAGTTACAATTTCCATAACATTATCTTCCATCATTGTCATTTCCTTAACATTCTAGATCTGATTTAATGTACAGGTCAACCCCACCATCTCTTTTATTTTTTCTATTTACAAAATAAAGTTCATACCCTTCCATTTGTACTTCATCCATCATATCATCTTTGAGCCAAGTCTCTGTTATAGCAATCACACTAAATTTGTTTTTGAATTTATTTAAATAATCTTTGATAATTAATAACTTAGGAAATAAGCTTCTACTATTAATGTGGATAAGTGACATTGTGTCCTTAGTCATTCTTCCACAGTTCAATTGTTCTTCTCCAATATAATCATAACTTATGTTTAATTCATATAAATTTCCATCTATTTTATTGTCAATATCATATATTTTATCATCCATTTCAGTCGAGTGATTTTTGCCAGTTTGAATCAAGACCAATATCAAACCGAGTTATCCATGTTGTTTTTACAGTATCCAAAATAAGTTTGGAAGCATAAATTCTGATGATCGTAACCATAGTTTGTAAACTTGTTTATATTCTCATTTATCACTTGTGTATTTTTCTAGTTCTGTTAGTTCCTTAATGATCAGAATCTGTGCCTGCTCCGGAGACCCATTCAGTTTAAAAAATACCTTACAGTTGGAATTCCATGTTGACTGTACTTTCTTTTGCTTTCTCAGAAGTCTCGCTTGCCTTGCAATGTCTGCATTTTTCTAGGTGTTCATTTATATATACATTGGTTCCCTTCAGCTTCCTTCCTTGTTTAAGCAGTTCTTTCTTGTGTTTTCTGTTCATAAATCTGATAAGGATTGCAGGTTTCTGATTTTTATTTTTACGTGGAAGAGGATGACATCCCTCTATGTCCTTGGCCTCTAGATGTATCCCTTTGCTACCAAGGAAGTCCATTACCTGCCTTTCTAAGTTGTTTAATTCTTGTTCAGGTGGTTCTCCACTCTCTGTAGCTGTTGCTCTTGCATAAGTTTGATGTTTGTTTCAAGTCCTGTCACTATTACATCATTTATTCTTGAATATTGTTCCAGTTCTGACACTCTTTCTTCCAGTAAGGTGATTTTCCTGTCCTTTTCCTCGTTTTTTTCTTCTTAGGACTTTAACCTCCTCCACTAATTCCATTAGCGCTTTCTGTTGTTTTTTAGACTGTCGTAATTTCTTCTGACATAAAGCTCAGTGATCTCTTTATCTCTTCCAGTTCCTCCTCAGCCACATTGTTTCTTTTTGGAGGCATTGTTACTGACGCACCCCAGTAGAGCCTGGTCTGGTAGCTGGAGCAGAACCTGGGCCTGGTAGCTGGAGCAGAACCTGGGTCTGGTAGTTGGAGCAGAACCTGGGCCTGGTAGCTGGAGCAGAACCTGGGTTTGGTAGCTGGAGCAGAACCTGGGTCTGGTGGCTGGAGCAGAACCTGGGTCTGGTAGCTGGAGCAGAACCTGGGCCTGGTAGCTGGAGCAGAACCTGGGTTTGGTAGCTGGAGCAGAACCTGGGTCTGGTGGCTGGAGCAGAACCTGGGTCTGGTAGCTGGAGCAGAACCTGGGCCTGGTAGCTGGAGCAGAACCTGGGTCTGGTAGCTGGAGCAGAACCTGGGCCTGGTAGCTGGAGCAGAACCTGGGTCTGGTGGCTGGAGCAGAACCTTGGTCTGGTGGCTGGAGCAGAACCTGGGTCTGGTAGCTGGAGCAGAACCTGGGCCTGGTAGCTGGAGCAGAACCTGGGTTTGGTAGCTGGAGCAGAACCTGGGTCTGGTGGCTGGAGCAGAACCTGGGCCTGGTAGCTGGAGCAGAACCTGGGTCTGGTAGCTGGAGCAGAACCTGGGCCTGGTAGCTGGAGCAGAACCTGGGTCTGGTGGCTGGAGCAGAACCTTGGTCTGGTGGCTGGAGCAGAACCTGGGTCTGGTAGCTGGAGCAGAACCTGGGCCTGGTAGCTGGAGCAGAACCTGGGTTTGGTAGCTGGAGCAGAACCTGGGTCTGGTGGCTGGAGCAGAACCTGGGCCTGGTAGCTGGAGCAGAACCTGGGTCTGGTAGCTGGAGCAGAACCTGGGCCTGGTAGCTGGAGCAGAACCTGGACCTGGTGGCTGGAGCAGAACCTTGGTCTGGTGGCTGGAGCAGAACCTGGGTCTGGTGGCTGGAGCAGAACCTGTTCCTTTATATTTTTCTATGTGTATCCCTTTATGCTTCCAATAGTAGTTCTGTTGCTCCCAGGTTTTTCTCCTGATGCTGCTGGTTTCTGTTCCTACGACCTCTTTTGTTTCCACCATTTTATCCCATCTCAAACAGCACTTTTGGCTTTTTGGATATACTTTAAGGACAATTACTGAAAACGTACACAGTAAAAGTAGTTCATACTTTGGTACCAGGTAGTACTCGAGGTACTTAGTAAGTGTGTATGAAAAAGGCACATTTAGCATTTCAGCCCATTCTGTCGCTCATCTCAGCTCTTCTCCAGCAGCGAGACGGTGTTACCGTAAAGTACCATATAAATACGCACTTCAATTGTAGGTGCGGCTCACTTGACCGCAGTTTGAATTTCAAAGGTTTAATAAAGAAGCCAGTCAGTTACATTTAAACTTTTATTACCATATATCTTTTGCCCCACAGGCATGTTGGCAGAAGCTAGCAGCATTGCAAATCGATGGGAAATCTCCATCTCTGGACAAAATGTCGAAGTAATGAACCCAAATCTCTTTGGTTTTATTCAAGCTTAAATGACACTTTGAGTTAGCAATACAGTTAGTATAAAGATAACTGTGAACAATGTTCTGTAATTATTACAAAGTGGTAAAATGATTTTTTAAGTTGAAATATCTGTCATAAAATGTGGGTGTTCTTTTTCCTCTCAGCTCTCCAGACACTTCTTATTCAGCGCCCCTGAGTCTGATTGTTTCACATCTCACCTGCACACAGCTATACACATCCTCCTCAAAAGTTAGCAGGCCATGACAGTAGACTTAGAGAAGTGAAAACAAACCTGACAGACCAGAGAGCAACCAAACTGCCAGGAAAAATTACTAAATGATTTGGACAAATACCCCAAACACCCACTTATCATGACAAGCTGTTGACTTTTTAATGCTTATTCAAGTCATTTCTTTTTCTTTTCATTTCAATTTTTCTGCAAAACCTCAAATTGCAGGATACAGGAACTCACAACGGACAGGATGGGCGGTACCAGAAAAATACCTCAAACCAAAAAACCTGTCATTTGGGTTTGGAAACCAAACCAGAGCTCCTATGGGACAATTGGAGCCCTGGAAGCAAATTCACCAAGGTTCTGGTGTTAAAAAACATCGATAACAAGCTGAAGAAGCTGAACATTAGGTTATAAATAATCACAAATCTACTCACAGCCCCAAGTTATCCACATGAAGTCACGATCCTGTTTTTTTTTCTTTACAGACATCCAATGTCCAACATTTTCTCTGCCTCGATTCCTCAGATCGTCTTCATCAGCCCGGGGACTACTTTCATTATTCCAATCACCTTTGGGCCACAACAAATGGTAAACCATTCCAATTTAGAGTGAAATTCTGGAGTGGTTGCAAAAATAAATAATACAGACTCACAAACATGACATTAACTCCTTCCTGTGAAATGTTATGTGCTTTGTTTAATGGGTTGTGTGTTTGACTGCATGTGACAGTGTGAATATGAGGACAGCATTGAGTTTCAAGATAAAAAAGAAAGATTTTGTGTGTATCTCCATGCCATCATCCCCTGCCATATGCTGGAGGTTCCTGGTTCTGTGGAGCTCCCACTCTGTGCCGTTCAGCACACCTCACAAACTGAATTCCATATAAAAAATGCCAGGTATTTCTGAGAGTGAATATTTGTGTGCATCAGTGTGATGAACCCCACCGACCCTTTCCACATAAATTATCTCCACTTTTCCATTAACAAGTATTTTCATAATCTTCTCTCTCCTAGGAATTTCCAGACGTTTTTCGAGTGGGATTGTGCAGAACCGTTTCATTTGAGCCCAGAGCGAGGCCTGCTGCAGCCTGAGCAGGAGTGTCCCATCAGAGTGATGTTCCACCCACAAGAGGCGCAGATGCACCAGCAGCAGGCCTGCTGCAGATTTGGAGATGAAGGGGAAAAGGCTAATAGCGTCACTGTACATCTACAGGGAGAAGGTGCAGCTGAGAAGGAACTGGAGCGTTCAATGAAACTATCTAATCTACAGTTTCTATAAATCACAGCATAAGGATTATTTTGTTTAATAACTTATATTTTACCTTAGGTGACTACAAAGAATAGTTTTGATTGTTACTGCAGACTACATCACTTTTATCTCAATGATTTCTTGACATCATCACATTTTATTTCTGCGCTTTCTGAGAAAGTTGGAGAAATTTGGCATAAAAAAATCGTCATCAACTTTCATAGAGATACAGTGGAGAGTAGGGGTGTGAATTTTACAACTCTAGCCTGGCCTGTTTAATTCTGCGTCTGAGTCTGGTAAGTCACAGGCAGAGAGGCACATAAGGAGCGGGACTAGGCAGCTCAAAAATAACCAATCAGAAAAACGACGGAGATGGCGACTGTACCGCTGTAGTTTTTTAGCTGTAGTAAAAAAAAAAAAGGCGTCTGGCAACGGCACAAACATCTTTATATTTTTATTAGTTTATTTTTTTTTTAAGAAATGCTTTTAGAGCTTCTACTTGTGGTTTTAAAGACATTGAAGTCATTTAGAACAGAGGAAAGAGCCGCAGCAAACCCCGCCGCTGTCTCCGTTGTTCATGAGAAACTGAGCGTCGCTGTGTGTGACGGCTGCGACGCTGTAGTTTTTTTTAGCTGCAGTAAAAAATGGCGTCTGGCGGCAGTGCTAACATCTTTCTTTTGAAGAAAGGCTTTTAGAGATTCTACTTGTTGTGGTTTTAAAGACGTGTCCAAGTCATTTAGAACGGAGGAAAGATCCACAGCGAACTCCGCTTCAGTCGCCATGTTCAACAAACTCGGCGTTGTGGTGTGCGACGTACGCTACTCAGCGCTGATTGGCTTAGTTAGAATTCTCAGGGGGCGGGGTTATTTGAAAAGGAGAGTTCCCAGACCCTTTCTCTGTGCAGAACTAAACAGAGGAGGAGTCTGGAAGGCCAGGCTACAACTCACGATTCAGTTAAGAATCGATTCACAATCAGCACTCTTAGTACTAAAGAGTGTAAATTCCAGGATTAACTACTTTCTTCGGTATGTCAGACATCTGCTAGGTGTCTATGATGTCGGAGTGGGTTGCTCTGGAAGTCCATGCATCACTTGCCAGATTGAGGCAGTACCAAAGCCTTTGGCTGACAAATAATGGGAGCAGCGAATGAGCTAGAAATTCTTTGGAAAATGCCTTCTCAAGTAACGAAACGTTGACATTTAGAATCGATTCATAATCTTTATAAATAAGAATCTCGATTCAGATGTGAATCCGGCACCTCTAGTGGAGGCGGTCATTATCATAGTGTGACGTGAAAACTTTAATTTTCCTGCCATAAAATCTGCAGGATTATTTTTCTCCACCAAGGAAATGACGGAAACATCAGAAATGTGTGTAAAATAGACTTCAGACAGTCACAATCTTTTTTCCCCCCCCCCCCAGCAAAATATCCTTACCTTGAGTTAAAACATCCGGGCAGCAAAAAGGAGGAAAATTGCCTTTCAGAGTTACACTTTGGGTCTGTGGCAGTTGACCAGAGTTTAAGCAAACACTTTGACATCTTTAACCCTTCCTCTGTGAGTAAACACACACACACACACACACACACACACACACACACGCGCACACACACACACACACACACACACACACACACACACACACACGCGCGCACGCACACACACACACACACACACACACACACACACACACACACACGCACACACGCACAAACACACACACACACGCACGCACACACACACACACACACACACACACACACACACACACACACACACACACACACACACACACACACACACACACATACACACACACACACACACACACACACACACACGCACGTACACACACACACACACACACACACACGTACACACACACACACACACACACACACACACACGTACACACACACACACACACACACACGTATACACACACACACGCACAAACACACACACACACACACACACACACACACACACACACACACACACACACACACACACACACACACATACACACATTTTCATTACTGACCGGCTTCTCTCACATCTGCTTTTTCTTTCCTCCCAACCAGGTAAGCGTGCATTTTTCCCTATCACCACTGCCTGCTGTAGCCATGTTTACATCAGCGTTCTACTGTGATGTCACCAGAGGCATCTTGCCACCTGGTGGGTCCCTCCGGGCTTCAGTCACGTATTCTCCCACCGTGGTGGACACCGTCTCTGTCGAGTACTTGTCTCTAAAATATAACGGGTCAATCAACAATCCTCAGCTCACACTTAAAGGCAAATGTATAGGTGAGAATTTTTTTTTTTTTTTTTTTGTCTTCTGAAAAATTCAGATAAAGTAAACTCACTTGGATTTTTCATTAGGGAAAATTTCTATGTTTTAGAACAAGTTAGATCATTTGAATAAAAACAAAACCTCTATTTCTGCCTTCAGGTCCCAGCGTTTCACTCTTGCCCTTGGTTTTGGACTTTGGGTGTGTTAAAGAACGTGGATCGGCAGTGCTGACAGTGAAACTGATTAATTCATCTCCTGCTGAGGCTATTTACCAATGGGACATTGATAGTGGAAACAGTGTATTTAGTATTTTGCCAGCAAGTGGGTCTGTGGCCCCACATAGCCACATCAAGCTTAAGGCAGTCTATAGACCCACACAACCAATAGCATACTACAGAAGAGTGGCATGTCTCGTCCTGCACACGGTATGAAGGGTACATTCACATGATGTGCAGATAAAGATGAGAAAGATTTCCTAAAAACGTACTTCTTCATCTTTTCAGGATCCAGTGTTTCTGGATTTAATTGGAACTTGTCACTCGGAGCTCCAGCGACCACAAAAACTAAAACCTGAACACTTGGTTCAGTACATGAGTCACTACAGCTATGTCCAGACCAGCCCATTCTCTGATAATGATTTGCAGCAAAATGTAAATACGCAGCTAGACCAGCAGGGGGTGCCATTACCCATGCCGGAGGTAACTACATGTCCAAACTGTATTACAGACCTTATAAACGGGCATCATTTTGGATAACAGTCAGCCCAATGCTAACACAAGCTGTATTTAAGAATGACTCTGAACATTTCTCTATTTTTTATCAGATAAATCAAAACCCTGTTATTTTGACCACACCCATGGAAGACATTCGTCAAGTCAGCACGGGATCCGTAGATTTTTTCTCCTCTAGCTCTTCTTCACCATCATCTCCACATGTATCGGTGGTGCCAAGTGAATTGCTGTTTAACCACAAAATCATACCCTCTTCTATTTCTCCATCAGAGTTCGTACAGTATGTTACTGTTAGGAACTACAGTGGAGGGAAACTTAGGTAACTACCCTTTTCAGTTTGTTTCAGTTCTTGAATGTAATCCAGAATAAAATACAAGGTTTTTCATATTGTTTGTGCTCTGGTTGAAGGCTGGCGTGGACCGTCGCTGAAGATTCTCCCTTCTCAGTGTCTCCATCCTCGTTCGACCTGGACTCACTGACATCAAACTCATTCACAGTGACTTATGCCCCCAAGCAGCTTAATACCCTGCATGGGGGACAACTTGAGTGTTTTGTGTACCAAGAGGTAGTTTTGATCTATACCTTTAAAAAAGTAGCACGTTTTTATAAAAATATTTCTCAAAATCACTAAACGGTGCAGACTATTCCAACAGTGTTGATCTGTTTGTTCCTTTCTTGATGATGCAGGACATTTCTGATGGGCTGCGACCGCCTTTATGTTTTACTGTCAGAGTCATCGGTCATTCATTTCAGCAAGGAAAGAAACATTTCGACCCAAGCTGCTCTTTGAACCCATCTCAAGTGGTAGTAAAAAGCAAAAAAAAGTGTTTGATCTGTATTAATAAAAGCATTAATTAAACATTTCATGATTGATTGATTGATTGATTGCTCTTTTATTACGCATCTTTTTGTTGATGTTAGGTTTTTCCTGGCCTGGGTGGAATGTCCTGTCAGAATGTTCTACTGCAGAACAACAGCACACTGCCACTCACCTTCTGCCTAAGCCACGCCTCAAACACCTGGAGAGACTCTCTTTCCCTGCTGCCAGGCTGTGGTCTGATCCCACCGGGGGATCACCAGATCATCACCATCAGATTACTTCCCACTGAGGACAGTCCTGAACAGGGATTACGCTTAACGTTGCAGCTTAACGCAGCTGAATTCTCAAAGGTATTGCACTCCACAATGACATGGAACAAAGTAGAATTTAGTTTTGTTGTTGTTGACCTGTGATCTGTCTCTTTTAGGAGCTAACAATATTAAGTGTGGCTGAAAAGCCACACGTGTCCCTGGAAAGTGGCAGCAGTTTGTATTTCCACCCAACAGCTGTGGGTTCAACATCCCAGAGCACCCATCACATTAAGAACATCAGTTGCCTGCCTATACAGTTGGTTTATTTATTTGATATCATACTGATTTGATTCTTATGCTTTTTAAGTTTGCAGTCTGGACGTAGCTCTACATCACTCTCTATTGATTGTTCTCCATGATAGGTTTGAGTGGAACATTCCAGAAACAGAACAGAGGTTTATTTTTGTCAAACCAGACGCTGGTGAACTGCATCCCAATGAAACCTCGGTAAGAGAATCAGAGACTTCTGCTACTGTGCATTCGTGTGGAAAACTATTTTACAGATCAGTTAAAAATACTTTGGTTACAGGTTCAGGTGTGGACCTTCAGTCCTTTGGCAGAGGAATCCTACACGCTTCAACCTACCCTCAACTTCTGGCCAGTCCAGAGTGATGGATCCAAAAGGTGGAATCTCACCCTTGAAGTGGTTGGAAGGGGTGCAAAGGGCTTCATAGAGGTGGGACTGTCACAGTTACACTCAGGTTAGAGTAATCTTTATTCCTAAATAAAAGTGAGTGCTGCATCCGGGTGTTTGTTTCCTTACCAGGTGGAGAACGCAGTCGTGGATGTGGGGGATGTTTTATATGGAAGCTGTAGAAAAGTGGAAATTCCTCTGGTGAACAACAGTCCCTGTTTTTTAAAGTTTCGTCTTTCTGTGGAGCGGATTCAAGCAGATGTCCACCCTTCTTATGAGCAAGAATACGATCAGAGTGGTAATTGTTGTGCTTTTCTTCATAATGACTCAGCGATGTGTGATGTTGCTCATTCATCTTTATGGGTGTGTGTTTAAAGAGGTCCTTCTCCGAGAAACCATTTTTAAAAAATAATTTCTGATTATAATGGGTCACTCTAAGTTTTTCATGCAGGCTGAACATGAAAATAGTCTCCTACACCTATCTCCTGCATTAGCTTCTGATAGAAAATAGACGGTGAAACTCTAGGACTAGAATCTACGTCACACTGTCACTTAACGTTCAAGGACTCACCCATCTTGACTCGTGACTGGGAAGGCTGTTGTTGGTTTAGCATCCAGAAGAGAACAGAGAACATCTTGGCTAGTAGAAGCTAACTGTTAGCATTAGCAACTCCACCACACAGCAGAACTCCTCCAAGCGTGTGTTATTTGTGGAGGTAAAACATTAAGATGCAGCGCAAATGGTGTCGGTGTTAGAGTTGTGTTGCAGTTAGCCTATCAGAGGCAAGATGTCCAAATATCAGGAAATAACATTCTAAATCCTGTTGTTAGAAGCTACTTTCTCCTCTGGCGGAATTCTCTGTGCTGAAACAGGCGCACCGGTGCTTTTTTTCCCCAGAGTATGACGTACGAGGGATTCATTCCTACTGGAGATGACTGCAAATGTATTAAAATATGAGCAAAGACCTTCTTTAAGCAATTCACATACTAACTAATCATGTGTGGCTCTTTAAGCTTTTCATCTGGACTGGGAAACGGGAGCCATCACCTCAAACTCCACGACGCTGCTCCAGTCCTCTGTCAGACTTTACAAACAAGCGCGCTACCTCTGGGCCATCAGTGCTCAGGTTCTAAATGCTGATGGTAAACAGAAGATTTACACTTTATACATAATCAATCATTCAAATCCTTCTGATCTCTATGCGTCCTGTATCTATCTGTTTTATTTCCAGGGACTACATCATCTTCTCCTCAGAAACTGTGTGAAGTTCAGGCTAAGGGGGTGTTCCCCACCTTACAGGTTGTCGGTGCATGTAGTGGTGGAAGTGTGGACAGGCTCAGCAAGGGGCATGTGTGGAAACTCCTCTCACTGGACAGCCTTAATGAACATCTGCGTTCTGCCCCCTCTTCTGCAGAAGTCACCACAAAACCCCCCATAAAGTACAAGTTATTCTGATAATAAACATTGCTAATTTTACTGAATTATTAACGAAAGCATTTATTTTCACTTTGCATTGGGGACATATCCATGAAATGATTCTCTCCTTTTTTCTCTCCAGTCTGCACATTAGTCCTCCCATCTTCCCCACAGTCCTGCTGGACTTCAGCTTTGGTTCAGCTTCTGTGTATTCTGATCCTGCAGAGTTTGTGTTGATGTTTCACAACCCTGGTTCTTTCCCCGTAGACTGGTATGCATACAACAAACCACAGATTCAGATGTTATCTTGTTATAACAGCTTGTTAAAGAAATGAGAGTGATACGTGTTACTCAGGATAATCTAAATAAATACATAACTAACACAAGGAACTTTAAAGAGCAAGTCACCTCCTACAAGAAACTTACTTCATTTCCACTTCATGTTTGAAAAATGCAACAAATGCCGTTGCCTGGCAGACCAAGAGGGCGGATCCGCTAACACATACACACACACACACAGGCTCACAACAACATTGTGACATCATAATGTACCAGTTAACATCATAGCATACCTCTTAGCCAATAGCGGTGGCAGAGTTATATTCGAATACAGTGCAGAGTTTTTACCTGACGACGGCACAACACTGACAGTTTTAGGCAGAATATTTAAATTTTAACTAAGATGCACTAAAGTGTCAAATTATTAACTACACGTGTCTACAGCACAATTAGACACTCGTTTTTGTAGTTTATCAGCCAAAAAAAAGTTGATTTGGGGGTGACTTGCTCTTTAAATGGTTATAACAAATGTAATGTGAAAAACTGAATATAATATCTGTTTTTTAACTGATTTGTTTTTCTCTTTAATTTTAGGGCCTTTTTATTTCCGAAGGACCAGCGCACTGAGCTGCCAGGCTGGGCGGAGACAGGAGAGCTCAGCAGCACAGAGCTGGACCACATGCAGGTCTTATTGATATTTAGAAATAATTGATTTTTGTAGAAAACCATTTAGTCCTTTTAGACATAATTTTACTTATTCAATGTAATGATTTAATTGATATCTATTTAATGAACCATAAGATGTGAGATTCCATGGAAAATATGAAATCAATCTTATGGATCTTTGGGTAATTTTAATCAGAAGATTGGAACTTTTTATTGCAGGGATTATGTAACACTTCGTATTAACTGAGAGACATGAGAAGAGAGAGTCACCTTTAACGTTTAAGAAGATTTATTTCTAAACAATTTTAAACAAGACTAACTCTAAACTCTAAGTGATGAATGGACCTTGGTGTGAATGAGACGTGAGATGAGTGGTGTGTGTGTGTGAGTGATGTTGTCATCAGAACTCTCGTATCCGGAGAAGCAAGTCTGAGTGGGAAGTGATGTTTTGCTCTTAAGCTATGATCGGAGTTTCATAAACACATGAGACGCCATCTTGTCGCTCCACACATACCCTTCAGGATGAGACCTCCGTACAGATCCAGAATGCCAGGTCCTCGGACCGCCCTTTCGGTACCGGAACCGATGAAACAGCGTCAGCAGTACGACAGATTAGTCTTTGGATTGTCTCCAGGTAAAAAGCGACAGTTGGTTGACAGCGTCAGATGGACCCTGAGGGTTCAGCTTTTATTCTGAAAGGAACCGTTTGCTTGGTTGGTAAAGTGCAACAGATTTTATCCAGCTTGTTGGTTCTTTGCTTATAAAGGAAGCCCGGGTGGCCGGTCCGATACTTCTCTTAGAATGCGGTGAACTGAACTAAGATGGCGTGTGGGCTGGTTTTATTAATCTGGATGTTTTGATTTACGGTCGAATCAAAGTTGGACAGATTTATAAACACCACAGAGACTATGCCACGCTTCTGAAAGGAAGGTTCCGATTGGATGAGAAAGATAAAATGTGTCATGTGACTTTACATTACGTGAATCAGTATGTCTAGTGGAAACATTTAAAGTTATACTACTTATTATAACTTACTAATCACAACATTGTCATTTCACACATAGGTTCACATCTTATTATTGGACTAACACTTTGTTTGATTAGCTTTATTAAAAATAGAAAGAGCTCGTCTTCTTTCTTCTCTTGAGCCGGAAAGGAAGCAGTTTTAGAAGCAAGCAGATTAGTTCTGTGTGTGTCAGAGACATGTGAGGAGAGAGGGTAAATAACCTTCGGTGGAACAGCTCCATCATCACGTTACATCAATGACCAATGTTTTAATATGTTTATGTGTTGGCAGATTCAAGACTGTAAGCTCTTCACTGTTGCTCCTCATTCTGGGACTTTGCTTCCTGGCCAGAAGAGGGCAGTACAGTTCAGCTACAGGTCTGTTTTTATTGCTCTTAGCCTCAGGCATTTGTTCTGTCAACTAGTTAGATTCTTAACTGCTTTCATTTATTAAACGACACAATAATAAGTAGATTTTTCTCTCTTTTAGTCACAATGTAATCGGAACAAATCGTCTCCCGGTTGTATTCAAACTCTCTTATGGCCGAGAGACGTTGGTGAGTCTCCTTCAAGTTTATTGCAACAGCTGTTAAAATGAGCTCAACTTTAACTTTAATTTTCTTTATCTTAATGTTTTATTGTGCAGCTGAACTTTCAGGGAGTGACAGTAGAGCAAGACAAACCACACCTCTTTGCCTCCAATCAACATGCGTTCGCCCCTGTAGATGTCGGGGACTGCAGGCCTCCAAGGCAGGTGGGTACCAGCAGTTTACAGTGAGTGAAAAAAAAATACATATTTTATCTGTATTATATGTGTTTTTTTTTTTTGTCCAGATGTATGAATTATACAATGGCGGGGCGGTGCAAGTACACTATGAAGTTGACCAAACTGTGTTGTCACAGCTTCAGATGGACAACTTCAATCATCCGGTGTTGTCCTGCATCAGTCCACAAGGAGAAGTTCTCCCTGGGGAGACAGCCACACTTGAGTGGATCTTCTCTCCACTGGAGTTAAAGCTGTACCAAGTATGGCTTCAATAGTCGGCTTTTTACTCTATATAACTGTATTTTTATCTCGTAAATGTATATGTCAGAAGATCTTTGTACAGTCTGTTTTCGGAGAAGTTTATCTGCACACCTTTTCTCCTGATTTCCCTGCCCTAATGTGTTTTTTTTTAATGGAGATGGATGTTCCTATTCATATCCATGACAACGACTTGATAACTGTGAGGTTTGAAGGATGTGGGACTAAGACTTTGACACAGAGCTCCTCAGATGTCAGTATGCAGAGAGAGCCCTTTCCAGGACAGGTGAGTTCACCTATGATATTTAAACAACCCTTGTGATTTTACATGTCATAACTGACTCTTTAAAATGGCCTACCAATGGTAACCAATGAGAGCAGGAGATTTTGAAATATGCTCGGCTAAAGCTCCTGCCTCTGCTCCCCTTCCCTTTCAGGAAGGGTTCGGTTACAATTCTTTAAAATTCAATAAATGACTTTACCTTTCCTAAATAAAATTCACTGACTCCCATCAGTTTTGAGCCCTTGTAGATCACAAAGCTCCCTCCATCTTTTAAAGCTGCTTTAGCAAATCAGAGCGAGCTAGGTTTTGAACGCAAACACGGTCCCTCTCCTCGGGTATCTTCCCTGAGATGCTTCTGCCAGAACCGGAAACCCGCAATGCCTAAACACCAGTTACTATTTTCTACGTCCAAATGTCTTTCGTTGTCCGTGACTTCAGATGGTGTTTTTCTTTTTGGGACTCTGGTAGTTTGTCCTAAAGTTGAAGTGGTAGCAGCCGGCTGTTTCTCCTTCTCTGATATCACTGAGTGGAGAACCTCTCACACCAGTGGTGTTCTGTTGCTAAATACATGAGTGTGTTATGAATGGAGGACCCAGGGAAGTGCATCAGTTCAGTGAGACAACCGGATGGTCCAGTGGTCGCTTTCAGACCAAAACATGTATTGGCAGCCGAGGAGCTTTGGTACGTGTTTTGTAAACTTCCGTTTTGTTTTGGTGTCACCTCGCAGTGCATGCTGGGGACTGGGCTGCGTTCTCGCTGAATGGCCGCTCCCTCTTGTAGATTTGAAACTGTATTGTCAACGCTCTAGGCTTCAAGCATTTTAAAATATTCACCCAAGCTTTAAATATTTATTTTGGTGACACGTTGCATTTTTTATTTATTTATTTATTTATTTATTTGTTTATTTATTTATTTTTACTATTTTCTCATCACCTCTGTGTGTGCAGGTATTATTTCTGTCTGAGGACAGTGTTCTTATAGGTGATGTCCCTGTTCGCTCACAAACTACAAGAGTCTTCTTCCTCACCAATGTGTCTCACACAGAATCTGCTCTCTTCTTGTGGGAGATTCCCCGACAGAAGGGGTCAGACCAGAAGGTTTGTTTTATGAGCCGAATCTGTTTAGATTCAGAGCTTCGAGTGTTATTATTACACCGTCTGACCAAGTCTGTATTTGCACGTGTTGTAACAGGTGGTGCAGATCCATCCAGAGCGAGGCCGTCTGCGTCCAGAGGAGTGCACCCTCTGCGTCCTGACCTTCAGCTCCACTGATTACCCCACCATTCATCAGCTGGATCTCATATGTCAGGTACCACAGTGACAGTGTAGCAGGAATTACCTGGCAGATGGTCTGATGTACAGCAAACTACTTCTCCATGTGCTCCTTTCCACTCCGACTTCAGGTCACTCAGGAGGCTGCTCTTGTTCAGTATCATGATGAGCTGCAGCGCTGGGAAGAAGAGAAACGAAGGCAGGAGAATGAATTCATAATCACAGACAAAAGTGCTTCGAAAAACCAAAGAGTTTTGGTGGATGAGGTGTGTCCTGCAGGACTCGTTTTTGAAAAGAAAATCTAATTTATGCAACGATTTCACTGAATTTACGTGTTTTTTATGCTTCTGACAGAAACCTCAAACATCTCCTGTCAGAAAAGGGTCCCTCAGTAAATATAAGGTCGCCTTAATTTTCCATAATTGAAGACTTTTTTTATCTCTGTGTTCAAATATGACACAGCATATTATTCTCCTCCAGGTTCTTCCTCCTATCTCAGCTGGTAGCGAAATCTACAGGCGTGAAGAAACAGTCAGTTTTTATACCAACCAAACCCGAGCCGAGCGAAGGCTGCGACGAGAAGCCGCAAAAATATGGAGGTGCCCTCAACCCCCCCGACCAGCTCTGCTGCACCTGAGGGTTGCAGCTCACTCCTTTGAGCTTCAGGACTACTTGAAACTCTGTCCTGACGAGTACCACACATGTTTTAGGTAACCTCATGCTTCCTTTTGGGAGTAGAACTTTACAAATACAGAAGATTAGTTTTATCATCTCCTTGTTTTTGCAGGAACATTCAGGCTAAAATTGGACCCACTTCTGCAGTCCCACCCCTCTTCGCTCCCTCGCTTTCATCAGCTCCTGGCCCTGGGAAGGACGTTGTTGCACAGATACTAACCTGCATGATCAGGTAATACCCAGTTCTGCATTTTTAGATGTTTTGTGTTAGGGATGATCCAATCCGATCACAGGTGCAAAATAATGCATTTAACCTTTTAAAACAACAAACGTGACTTTTAAAATTCATTCTGGGACAGAACTTTTCTAACGGAATAACAATGGATTTGTTTTCATTTCAACAAGTTCCTCTACATCAGCATTCTTTATTTCCTGGACAAAAACAACAGCATAACATCACAAAATGGACAGCAGGTGGGGTTCAGACACCAACATACAGCCAGCAACTAGCTAGCAGGCTAATACGGAGCTAATGTGTCTCCTGAGGAGAGAGAAAATGTCTTCCATTTGCACGTATTTTAAACCAGACAGCGATTGCAGAGCAACAGCTACTTGTAATGTATGCATATTTGGCGTTCAACATGGTGGAAAAGACCCAGCTGCCTTTAAAACAAACTACCTTCTCATTTGGCTTTCTCCCACAGCCAATCATCTGTCTTCATTAAGTCCCAGTTTGCCACTAACAGTCTCAGTTCACAGCGGCAACTGGGACAAAAACATGGAGCCATCCGTCAGAGAAAGATGCGCCAATAAACAAAGAGAAACTGCAGGTGAACTGCAAAAAGTTGGGTTTTCTCGAGTCCTTTTTTCAAGACACAATGTGCAAATCAGTGTAATACTACCGCAGCGATGTGTCTTACAAGTGCGTCATGCTGGAATGGCGATGCAAGATTTTGAGAGGGTGCTCGCTGCAGAACCACAAAGGCAGAGCTGCACCATAAGGTGGAGCTGCACCAGTCAGCCCCGCCCACTCACGCAAACAGCCTAGCCCACTGACTTCTTCTGTTTTTTTTTTAATTATTATTTTATCGCAAACTAACCTGACCCACATGAATTACGGCTGTTACCAGTTTACAAATGTTAATGTTGCTATGTTCTATGCTCTAATTAAGCAAGATAAATATAACTTGCTACATGACAAAGCCTGAATATATCCCGAAATGAAAAGGTTTCTTTTAGCGGATATCTGTCCATAGCCGCTCCAACAGAACCGGCCTACAACAGCATTTAAGGACTATTGGCTAGTGGGCAAAATGGATTTGGCATGTTTCTTATGAGGAAATGACAATATAACATGATTAAAAGTTCTAAAAGTTAGATTTTTAATTATATGGAACCTTTACAAAAACGGTTCAATTAACCTCTCAACTCCGTCCTCAATCTTGCATTTTAGATGATATTAGCTATAACACCCTCTTTGGTTCCAGAATGCTATTAAGTCTGACAACTGGAAGGAATTGGACTGACTCTGATGGAACGGGCGGGGCTGACTCTGGTGCAGCTCCACCTACTGGTGCAGTTCCGCCTTTGTGGTTCTGCAGCAAGCACCACTTGAAGATTTTTGCCGCATGAATTCGGCCTCGCTTGGTAGGAATGTTGTAGTAAGTTTCTGTCTTAAAACGGCGATTGCACCTTGATGCAACAGAGGGAAGTGTTGTGATCACGTGGGGAGTTACTGCCAAGCTCCAGCCGGCAACTGTGTTGAAAATGAAAGTAAAAACAGGCCGTGAGGTTCGCTTTTGTAAACAGAATCAGTTGAGCTGATAATCTGGAGAGATGCAGCGCTCATGGAGCTTTTCTTCGTTAGAGCTGGAGTTCAGATCACCAGAGACTGCACGAGGACTGTGGGGGGCAGACATCTTTAGGAGCTGCTTGTTAAAAAAAAGCCATGAGCGTGGCTTCGATCACAATAAAAAGCAAGTTATGTTCCAAGATAAACGGAAGTTCGAGGCAGCACTAAATCTGCCTCCATACTCCCTGTGTGAAATAACTGAAACATGTTTTATATTCTATTTTCTTCAAAATAGCCACCCTTTTTTCTGATTACTGCTTTGCACACTCTTGGCATTCAGGAGTCACCTGAAATGGTTTTCAACAGTGTTGAAGGAGTTCCCAGAGGTGTGTAGCACTTGTTGGCCCCTTTGGAAGCGGTCCTGGTCATGAAAATAAAGAAAGCATTGAATGAGAAGACGTTTGGCCTGTCCTGTACTTCGTAAACAAGGGCTGTTTTCTGGCAGATAAACTAAGGAAATGACATAAATACAGAAAGAAAGAAGAACTACATAAATAATAATGAAAAACATAAAGGGCAACTTGGATGTGCTCTCCTTTCTTCTATTTTAATACTTTGCTGAAGTAGCGGATCGGGACACGGAATCGGTGGATGCTCGAAATAAAATGAGTTTGGAACATCCCTAGTTTGTGTGTGTGTGTGTGTGTGTGTGTGTGTGTGTGTGTGTGTGTGTGTGTGTGTGTGTGTGTTTTACTTATTCTGATCCTTTTTCTCATTCCAGTGATATTCTCAGTGATCCAGAATTGGCCCGGTCTCCGGTAACTCTGTCCTCCAAGCCCCGTCCCTACCAGCCTGCAGACATGTCTTCCACTCACTTCTCTCCAGTCCCACCCAGCCCTTGTACTCCAACGCGTCCCCCTTCTACCTCTGCCACTTTACCTCAGCACCACCGCCTGCTGAATGAGGCTGTGGCTAAAGAGGGTACTGAGATAACACAGAACACACTCCAGCCTATGCTTGCTCCTGCTTACATGTGTGAAGCTGTTCTGTTGAATACGCTTCAGAACTTGTTGACTGAAGCGGTCAAAGGACAGTTTGACCTTACAGCTCATCCCTGCATTATCCCACCATCTTCTTACCTGAGGTGATTATACCTAATTTTATAAAATGATGTTTTTGCTGTAGTCATAAATTAGTTACAAGTGTTCTGTGCTCTTTTAGAAGCAGAGCCAAGCCAGAGGAGGACCAGTAGACCATCAAGTCTTCTCATCCTCCTAGCAAGCCACAGCTTTTATCAGGCTACACGTATATTCCATCTGTTTTCTTCTCATCCTGTTGAATTATTCTCATCACTTCTGCTTAGGGAAGAAAAATTTTTTTTAAATGTGAATAAAATTTAATCTGATTGAAATTTTAGGAGATTGTGTTTTGATAAACAAATATTCACACAGGAAGCTGAATGAACTAACGAGAGAGAAGGAAACATTTTTTTGCATGACAGTTGCAAACATCTCAGGCCCTGTCCACACGTAGCCGGGGATCTGCCCAAACGTAGATATTTTTCTACGTTTTGGCCTGTCATCCACACGAAAACTGAGTTTTTTCACACGAAAACGGATCTTTTTAAAAACTCCGGCCAAAGTGAAGATCTGCGTTTTCTCCGTTTTGGGTGTCTGCGTGTGGACGGACAAATCGGAGTTTAAGGTCCGCAACGTCACTTTCCGCGACAAAAAATGCTGACATCACGTGTGCGACCTGTGTTTACACTAGCCGACAGCATGGAAGCCCTCAGAGCTGCGCTCGCTTTATTAATTGTCCAAGCACTTTCTGCTTGTTTGTTTTTGCAAGCGGAATTACTGCTCCTTGCGGAAGACCACAGACGAAGGACGAGGTTAAGAACGGGGGAAGTACTGCCGCCTACAGGTCTGGCATGTCCTTAACAACGTATTTATCCGGGTACGTGTGGACAGAGTTTTTTTTTAAAACGAGGTGGTGTGGATGCAAGTTTTTGTAGGGGCGGATATTCGTTTAAAAAACCCCGGCTATGTGTGGCCTGAGCGTCACGGTCTGCCTCTATCAGCAGGTGAGGTGACCTGGCAGTCAGCTGTTTGTGTTGTAGGTGGGCGTGGCACGAGCTCCAGCTGATCCTGATTCCGCTAATCAGAGGGCCAGGGGATTTAAGGAGCGGTGTGACACAACTCCAGCGCTGGTTGATACTCTCACCAGGGTAGCGTCTAGCCCAGTACATTACCTGATCTTCCAACGAACTTGTTCTATGAGATCCTGTATGCTCTTGTTTCTAGTATCGCGCCTCACATCCTCTAACCACGCCTGGAGTTGTTTTCCTCGTCCCATTGCTCAGGATCCTCTGGCCTCCACTCTCCATCGCTCTGCCTGCCTGCCAACCTACACCCTGGACTCACACAACCTTCTCCTGTCCACCTCCTCTACAACCATCAGACCTGCCACCTCTCCTCCACTCAACTTCACCCAGTCCACCATCGCTAAGAACTGGTTTAGGACCGTAAGAACAAACACCAAACTTCTTATTCTCTTGGTTCTCTGGTTCCGCCTCGTACTCACGATTGTTCTTTCTTTTTAGATTTCCGGTCCGTTCCTGCTTTTTCTGGAGCAGCGTCCTTAGTTTTTCCTTCGCTTCATTTAATAAAATATTTTACTCTTTTTACTTACCTGGTTTTCACGTGGGGTTCTTCTCCTGGGTTAAGCACCTTGCCTACAACATGACACTCAGGACTTTGAATAAAGAACTGATTAATACAGTGGAAGGGCGCCAGCTGTGGAAAAATTCAGTATTCAGCGACAAATTCTTATAAAAATGAACAAGTTAATTTCCTTAATTGGAACCAATGTCCACAAGATGGTGACAGAGACATAATAAGTGAACCACCTCTGTGTTTATGTTGCATCAAGTTACACACACATATCACTCCATGAATTAAGAAACAAGCAATGCATTATAAAATCCTTACTATGATCAATAAATATCTTTACTCCCAAATTTTAGGTTAAATTTCAAGTATACGTAAAAAGCTAACTGTATATCTGGAGAATATTTGTGTGAATTGTTTGTGACTGGCAGTGGTCAGAGGTTGATCCCAAAAGCCACCCGCAACCACTATCTTCAAGTCAATCTGTAGGAGTGTGTGTGTGTGTGTTTCTGTCTGTTACCCATCTGGCTGGTCCACTCTATCTCTTTGCAAACAAGCAGCAACACCACAAGCCCTCTGGACACGAGTTGGACAAAGAAGAAAGAGTGAAAAGACCCAACGCTCTGAAACGGGGAGCAGGACAGACGAGATAAGATCTGTTATAATAAAGTTTCTTGCCCTGCCAGTAACGCTGATGAATCACACTGAGTAGTCACGGTTCCTCTGTGCTTTTCTGTGTGGGACGGGCTTTCTGAGAAAAGTGGAGGACATAAAATAAATCCTCAAACCTTATGGAAACATTTACACGTTATTTACAGTCTTTAAGTCACCATAATGAGAAGTACGGTCCTAAATCAGTAAAAGATGGGCCAGTGTGAAAAAATAAAGTAAATGAATGTACTTCAGTGTTGTTGAAGATTGAATAAATGTTTATTTAAATAATTTTTACTTCTATTAACTGGCCTGTAACTACATCTAAATCTTTTGGGTCAGTAAACTGCTGCAAAGGAGAAGTTTTCGCACTGAAGATGTTAAACAAGGTATGGAAGCCCATTCCCGTCACTCAGATAAAAAAAAAAAATTATCTCATAATTATTACTTAGCTATCTCATAATAATGAGATACTATCTCATTATTATGACTTAGTACCTCATAATTATGAGATACTAAGTCATACAGTATTTATGAGATACTAAGTCATGATAATGAGATACTATCTCATTATCATGACTTAGTATCTCATAATTATGACTTAGCTATCTCATAATTATGAGATACTATCTCATTATTATGACTTAGTATCTCATAATTATGAGATAGCTAAGTCATAATTATGAGATACTAAGTCATAATTATGAGATACTAAGTCATAACTATGATAATTATGAGATACTAAGTCATATTTATGAGATACTAAGTCATAATAATGAGATAGTATCTCATAATAATGAGATAGTATCTCATAATTATGACTTAGCTATCTCATAATTATGAGATAGTATATCATTATTATGAGATACTATCTGATTATTATGACTTAGTATCTCATAATTATGACTTAGTATCTCATAATTATGAGATAGTATCTCATTATTATGACTTAGCTATCTCATAATTATGAGATACTAAGTCATAATAATGAGATAGTATCTAATTATTATGAGATAGCTAAGTCATAAGTATGAGATAATAATTTCTTTTTTTTATCTGAGTGGCGGGAATGGGCTTCCATAACAAGGAGAAGTTAGTCTTAGAAGTTCCTCCTGCAAATGTATCTTAAAATGTTTATACACACATTTTTATTCCTATTTTCTGTTATGGACAGGTCAGGACTGCAGGATAGCTAATCACCTTCCTCCTCTTCAACTTTTATAATGTTAACAAAATGTATTTTCCACCATCTTGTATAATGAAAATTTTACGTAGTATTCTGCATCGATGCTACGAAACATGTTAACATTAAAGTTTATTTTTGTGATTTTCCTTGACTCCGAGAAGTCAAAACTGTTTTTTTACTCTTAACTTTTTCTATCAAAATAAAAATATATATATTCAGTAACTACAAATATTTTCCACAACTAGATTTTGACCATGTTGATTTATATCTATTTATATGAGGAAGTGAATAACATTGCTCTTTTGTATGGAAGCACAGAGATGCCACTCGGGTGAAATTAAATTGAAGTGATATCAAGTTATAACATAACCTAATTGTTCCAACAATATAACTTTAATATTTTTACAATAACATATATATCACATTCTTACAATATAAATTTTATTATGTACGAACAATATTTATACTGTACAAACATTACATTCATATCGTTAGAACATGATAGTATAGTGTACAAATGTGATAGCATATTGTTAAAATGTTAGAACAATACATTTAAGATGTTATAATGTGATATCGCTCTCATTATTTTTTGTGTGGTTGGCAGCTCTACGTTGCCGTACTTCTGATATCTTGATTCTTGTAATAATACATTTCTACATACAGTAAAATTAATTCTACTAATTCCATTTTTTTTTCTCCATGAGGAACAAAAAGTCCCATTTTCGGGCAAATTGGCCCAACTTCCAGACTTGCTTCTAAAAAATGTGGCTATTCATAAAAGCATTTTTGAGTACCATGCAACACCTGGAATTTTGATGTATGTATATACATACATACATATACATATATATATATATATATATATATATATATATATATATATATATATGTATATGTATATGTATATATATATATATATATATATGTATATAAAAAATCAAACATAGGCCAAAATCAATTTGATGAGACTAAACAACTATTGTGTAAAAGCAATAATATTTTTTTCAGTTTTTCATTTAATCTGATAAGTTTAGCAACTTGTTATGATTAAAAATGAAAACTTAAAAATGTTTACATAATCGAATAAAATTGGCTAATTATTGGCTAAAATCAATGAAAAGAATGTCCTTATTACGTCCTTATTGTTGAGAATAAGTGCACACTTGAAAAGCATCAATCTGTGGGTTTCATAATGTAAAGCAGTCTCAGGTGTGTTTAAACAGACTTAAAGGACTGATGTTGTAACCTCTAAAATTACCAGACGATAAAAGACGCCACAAAGCTTAGGTCCATGTATTTGCTTCTTTGTCTGTTCCTGCATATTGAAGGGTATATGCGACTCCTACAGATGTTGTGCACCATAGGTAAAGCTGTTATAGCAAATCTACAGAACAAGCTAGGGTTTGAACACAAACACAGAACACTCACCCCTTCCCTCAGGTATCTTCCCTGAGATGTTTTTGCCAGAACCGGAAACCCGCAACGCCAGAGGAAACCAGTCGCCATTCAAAATATGAACGTTTAATTCCCCCGTGACTGGAGGGGTGAAAAGATGCGCAGCAAGCGTTTTATTTGTGGATGAAAATGACAGGAAACGTGGGTTTAGAGGTGGCGAGCGCATGAAGAGGTGGAGGAGGATGAGAGACAAATTTGTACGTGTTAAAAAGTCTCTTATAAACAAAAAACACAATATAAGCACACTATCTTGGACCGATACAACAGGATACCACAGAACAGCGCTACACCCTCTGCTGTCCTGCCGGGCAATTGCTTTGCAACACTCCAGGAGACGGAGAAGTATGAGAGCAAAACGCTTCCATCAGTCCGTGCGTGTCTGTCCCTTGCGGAGCTGATGGAGAAGCATAAACCAGGCTTAAGAAAAGAAAATGCAAGTGGAGAGACGTGCGAACAAGATGGTGTTTGCTCACAGTTTTTTTTTCCGGGAAAGACAACTCTACACATGCTTAACCTTTTAAACCTAACTGAATGCTTGGTGCATGTATACTCATAGCATGACAGGATCATTTCAGTTAAGTGTCCATATAAAGAGAGATTTGGGATTTCCGATCAACCAAGATTTGAATCAGATTAGGGACATTTGAGTCATTTAAACGTAGCTCATGTAACCTTCCTGCAGCACAACTGAGACATTAGTGTGTTTTTTGTTATTATTTTACTCTAAGTGTTTTACATACTATACCTTTAAAAACAAGCAGCAGAAACAGGAAATCAGCAAAAGAGACATTATTCTCCAGGAAAACAGCTTTTCTGCCTTATTATCAATATGAAATATCCTCCTAATGTATGGTAACCTCTGACGGGTGATAAAGGTGATAGCTAATAAACATATTCCTAAATTATGAAGCTTTTGCTTAGAGATAACAGCCATGGTTTGCTTCTACCTGCACTAACAAGACAATAATTAAGTGTATCTTCAGCTCCTTCCTTTCTCCGAGGAGGGTTTCTACTTCTAGACAAGTAAAATCATGTGGCAGCAGGAGGTATTAATAATTTATACAACAACAACCTCTCACACACTCTCAGATGTGAGTGTGTGTGCCAGTTATGAAGGAATTTCATGAACATGCTTTTCTCCTGGGGATTCCAGGGATGACTGTGGTTTATTTTACAAAGGTTAGGGCCATCATGTGTTTCTCATTTAGATCTAATTCAAGCTGTCAAATAAAATATTAGCCACAATGGGATTTCTAATCATTTCTGATCTCAGTCACCCGGGAATGTGTTTCGTGGAGTTTCAGTGAGGGGCAGGGCGTGTTCTGTGAGAAACCAAAAAAAGGGACACACGTGTGGCACAAAGAAAATATAAACAGTTGTGTTAAAAAGGAAGGAAAAAAGGGTAAAGGAGAACCACATTGAGAGATAGGTGGTGCATTCTGGCAGGGTGTAGGAATCTGTTTCACGCCCAGATGAAACCAATGTCAGAAGGGGAATGTGTGTGTAGCTTAAACACGGTAGGTGTGGCAGGACAGGGGTTAGGACTGTTAGCTTTTCCTAGGTGGAGGAGGGAGGGACGGAACACTTTATAATCCAGACCAATGCTCCCAACATTAACGACAGACCGAAAATTAGACCACAAATTCTTGCAAGAAATTGTTTTGTTTTGCTTTTTATGCAACAAAATAAACCTCAGGAAGATTTTATTTTTTCCATTATGGTGCAAAAGTATTATTCAGACACAGAGAGACGAACAAGACCGGCGACCTGGTGTCCGTTCAGCCTGACATGCATGTAAACCAGAGCACCCAGAACAAACCTATGCACGGAGGGAGCGTGCAAAATCCAACCAGGTAATGAACCTTCTATCAATTACCAGTGATGTCACCATGCAGCTCACACTGATTAATAAGACGCTGCTGTCCCAAATTTTCTCCCTTCAGGAGTTACTTATGATTTTTCAGAAATACATAAAAGTGTTTGTCTTATCATGTAGTAAATACACCTTTTTTTGTTGTTGTTGTTGTTGCTATGCCCACCCCTTGTCCTGTAGAGCTCCATGCAATATGAAGTGAGCGCCGGTCAGCACTAGCCAATACAATGGTTAGCC